TTACAAAAACCAAATCTAGCACACTTAACTCTGACTACGTTTACATGGACATCAGTAATCTAATTATGTACCTTATTATGAATAAGACAATATTACGATTAAGGTGTTTACATGAGTTGCTTTTAGAATATTCCTTTCATGTTCCCGATTTACATGTTATAGTACATAGTTCGATTAATGGCACCACGTAACGCCATCCGACATCCCCTCCGGAATTTCATGTATAAACATATAGTTCCTCTTCGTGATGATGCCATATACAGTTTTGGGTGTTTCATTTTTAATTTACTGAAAGCTTCAAGTGCAGTTAATTATTTGTCATGCTATACATGCAAACAGACGACGGCGTTGTTGAAGCCATTCTTTTGTTTGCCGTCAAACGGTTGACCACTGCCGTGTGTGTATCCTGTCGCAAAATGCGGCGAAAAGTCTTACACGATGGTAATAATGTGATTAAGGTGTGTACATGTCTTTACTGCACTTCCAGTATAAGTCATTATAATCAGTAATTATGGCCCCACTGGATGCAACAAATGCCTCGTTTATAATGGGTTTTCATGTTTTTGAATCGTTGCTCAGGCCTGACAGGTCATCACAGTATGGTAAGGGGCGTAACATTTCCGTCACACGCTTGAGGTATTCGGTCAATCATAACGCACTGGATAGCTGGCCAATCACAGCACACCTCGCTTTTCAGACCGATGAGCTTTGTAAAAATCGACGCGTTTCAGAAAGGCGGGGCATAGAGGAGAAACAATAATGTACAGTATGTGGAAAATAATGTGTTTTTTTAACCTTAAACTGCATAAACACATTTCATTACACCAAATACACAAAATAATGTTATTTTTAGAAACATCATATGACCCCTTTAAGGTATGTACATGTCTTTACTACACTTCAATGCGACTAAAATAGGAATACTCCACATGTCTTAATTCGATTAGTGTTTACTTCGATTATGACTTTAGCCGGATTAAGGTAATCAAAAAACTCTGTTTACATGGTAGATTATTAATCAGAGTATTGTCTTAATCGTATTAAAATCGGAGTATTGTTGTCCATGTAAACTTACTGACTGTGTCCTAACCAACTATTTATAGCTGTAAACTTATCACACCCTACCAGGTTAGGATACAGCACAAGGCTGAAACCTATAAAAGTTTTATACTTCAGTTAAAGGTTTAAAACAAATACCTCAAAAATGTTTGAGGTATATCAATGCAGCACAGCGGTGAGATGGCTTGTCGCTCTTTGCTTAAAAGACTGAAAGAAATGAAGGCATTGAAAATTTTAAAGAGGGTGGAAAAACCCTTTGAATGAGCCCAGGGTCACGAAAAAGGCTGATCTCAGAGCCCACACAAAATAATCCCTCTCTTTAGCCTTCATTTTATCAGGCACAGTGGTGGGTGATGAGACGACATGGCTGGCCTCCAGGAGTCCTCCGGCCTTCACTAACGGCACCAATGACCACCTCAGCGCTAAGCGGCAGAGGAGGACAGAGAGAGAGAGAGAGAAAAAAGGGAGGCGGAGAGTCAAAGGGACAGGGAGACAGAGAATATCTCTTACACGCCGTGAGACAAACAGATAAATCGGGAGACGGACGGAGACACAGAGCAGATTTTCCATCTGTTATCTGATTCCCCATTTACGACTGCAGTATATTTTCAAGTCCAGCGAGCAAGACTGCGCCTATCTCAGGATTCAGGATTCTCAGGATTCTGACTAGAACCAGAAAATCTGAGCATATCACACCAGTCCTCAGGTCCTTACACTGGCTTCCAGTTATATTTAGGATTGATTTGAAAGTACTTTTACTCGTTTATAAATCACTCAATGGCCTAGGACCTAAATACATTGCAGATATGCTCACTGAATATAAACCTAACAGACAACTCAGATCATTAGGATCGCGTCAGTTAGAAATACCAAGGGTTCACACAAAACAAGGGGAATCTGCTTTTAGCAATTTTGCCACCCGCAGTTGGAATAAGCTTCCAGAAGAGAGAAGATGTTCTAAAACATTAGTCACATTCAAATCTAGACTCAAAACTCATCTGTTTAGCTGTGCATTTATTGAATAAGCACTGTGCTACATCCGAACTGATTGCACTGTATTTTATGTATAATAATTTTCTATTTTTACTGTATTTTATGTATGTGTAATGATTTTCTATTTTTAACTGTCTTAAATTCGTTTTAAATCATTTTCAACGTTTTTAATTCCTTGTTTTATTCTTGTGATTTTTTTTTTTTTTTTTATGATTATTTTACTTTCTTTTATGTAAAGCACTTTGAATTACCATTGCGTACGAAATGTGTTATATAAATAAACTTGCCTTGCCTATCAAACAATTTTCGTTTTTTGTACACTCTGGAACTTAAGTCATTTCAAATATATAATCTACATTACAAAAGATACCACAGAAACAGCTCCTAGACAGTGGGGGCCATAATGATGTAAAAACTGTGTGAGACAGAGGTAAATCGAGGACAGGCGGGGGACCTTTTTTGTCAACACAACACTGTGCTCCACTCTACAGACACTCATAAACAATGGAAGTGGAAGAGACAGAGGGTCTTACAGGCGACCAATCACTAAAGCCACCAGAACAAAGGCTTGAGACGGAGCTCTGAATGCACGGCGGGAGAAAAAAGGAGGAGGGGTGCGAGGAAAGGGCACTCATTCAAAGGCCAGCAATTTTAGTCCCTCCTGCATGCTCAACGTGGGTGAGTGTCAGAGGGGAAGACAGAGAAAGGTTTCTTGTGAAGGTGTGAGTTTCATTCGACGCTCTCTTTTGGACAATGCAGACTCTGAGGTCTTTTATTCTTGGGAACCTGTTGGCATAGAAGCGCATTGTTCAGTGGGGAGAAAAAAGGAATACAAGGAAACTACATTATCATGCCTTTGTGCGGGAGTTGCTCTTTGCCACTGCACTGACATTTGTTGCTTCTGACAGTAATGGAAGGCCAAAGGGAGCCAATAAGGAAAGTATCTACTTCCATTTGTCGTGCTTCCTTGATCCCAAACTGAATTAAGCACTCAGCAATAATGTTTTAAACTCCCCTCAAAGACTCTAAAACAAGATGGGTGCCATCAGATCCCCAATGAAAAGGGGTCTCCATGACAACTGTGAGAAACCTTCACCTCACCCCTGAAGATCCCTTTAATACACAAACCTTTGACATGTACCAACAAGATTAATGGGCAACCGAAAGTCTTGCGCGCATGGTAATAACCCTCTGCTCGTCCTGAGGTGTAAAACGCCTTATCCCGTGAAGAAATTAATAGAGGCGAACCCCAGAGTGTGCCCACGCGAGTTGAGCGGCACTGGAATCTTGGCATGACTAATTGTGGTGCCACGATTCATCCATCCAAAACTCATTTATCCAACGGCCAAGATGCTCCTCTTATTTCTTGCAAAATATGTGCACAGAGACCGCTCAAGATCGGGATTCATTTACAGCCACCCAGTGCCAGTATCACGTTGAGTTTCCCTGCCCATGTACCTGAAAAGCTGATGTTTTGTGTGACTAGCATGCAATAAAACACTCTGATTAAAAAAAAACTGGTTTGAAACTGGTCTGAAACTGGTTTGAAAACCACCTTTCAGGGTTGAAAACAGTGTTCCAACAAGTGGAAGAGCAGCAAGTGCAAAGAGAGCAAATAAAGGGCAAAATAGTGATACATTAGGAAGAGTATAAAAATTGCTCTGCATATCTCATTCATATTTTTTGGCATTTAAGTGCCGTTCACACCAAGAAAGACAACTATAATTGATTAATATTAATAATGTGAATAATAAGAGGAACAGAGGAACAATATCGTTGGAATCACTTTCAGAGTTTCAGATTTTTTTTTTTTCAGCTGATGAACAATAAAAACATTGACAGCCAATCAGAATCCATCTAACATTAAAAAGCTTGAGAATTTAAAGAGGTAGAAGACAAAATTGCAGTGCGCGATTAAAATAATCAGAACGTTGTCTTTCGTTGGTAATATAGTTATTATAGCCTAGTTATCTTTATTATTATTATTTTTGATTTGAACAGGTCTTTACGCTTTATTTTTCAATTTTATTGCACAAATTAGTTCATAACCGACTCTTCCGCATGTTGTTTGTTGATACTGGACACGACTTTGTACGAAAATGTTTTTGGAACCATAGATACAATCATAAAAAAAACAATGCAAATAGTTGCGTAAAGTACGCGCTATGTTGCCAAAACATGTAACCTGAGTCTTTAAATAGGCTACGCGCAGAGCTCCAGTCCTGCAGTGTAGCCTCGGCTTACGCAGAACCACAGAATGTCTCTCCTTATCAGAGGAAAGCAGCCCCTCTGAGACGCCATCGAATCACTGTGATGTTCAAACCACCAGGGAAGAAATGTCTAGGACCATCACCACATGCAAGACTAGTGTGGCAAATAAGGGGAACAGTAACTTAAAATACAATTTTATAACGGTGGTATCTCAAAATAGCAGAAGACTTGCATAAAATTCAGACATCATTGCATTTTGAAGAGTTACAGTCAGCAGCGCAGACCTGTCATAAACCTTAAAAGTGTTAACAACTACACCGTTGCATTTCTTGCCACCACTGTACATATAACTAAAATACATATAACAAAAGATATAATACATGTAAAAGTTTCAAACTGTAAAGTAGGTGATTAAGAAAGATAATACAATTACACCTGCTCCCTTGCAAAACGACAGGCCACATCTTGCGTAACATGGCGTACGAGACCAGGGATACGGGTAACGCAGTAAGTGGCTCTGATTAAGTTAACCAGGATAACCTAGATAAGCAGGTAAGCTCAGCGCGCACCAGCGTTACGCACGCATGCAACTTGCGTATCAATATACACTTGGGACGGGCGACTTCATGTTAAGCGCGCTCAATTAAGGTAAACATCATACAAATTAGCTAGTAAATCAGTTTCAAAACCGAGCGAGCAGTAAAAAGATTAACCCACAAGTTACTGTGTCACATTACCTTGGCTGGACAGAAGACACGCGCTGAGAATCAGGCAACAGTTTATCATCGTAACGGCGCTCAGTCCGCTCTCGTCCGCGGGAGGTTAAACAAATCCTGGAAACTTTAGCATAAAATCTCTTTTACTTTGCGAAGCGAACCGGAGGCAGTGTGTTCAGGTTCGTCAGATCGCAATCTCAGCCTGCTCTCCGCTCCAACTGCTGGTAAAGCCCGGAGTGTGTACAGGTATGTTATTGTGCTCGTGATGGTGACGAACGCCGTTGAGTCCTCCTGCCTGACGCGACGCGCTCCCTCGTTCTGTTCGAGCGCTAGCGCGACCGATAGAATTGGGCATGATGTGATGTCATCGTCGCGTCACGCCGAAGTGGGAATGGCACGACAGTGAAGTTTAGAACTTGAGGATTGGGCTGCCGCGATACACTACTTACGCGTAAAGTCCAGATATTCTGGTTTTACGCGTTTTGTGCGAGATTGTAATCAGTGTGCGAAATTAACTGGGGATTTAGACAAAATGCCCCGTGGTAAATTCCCCTGGTTTCTACCTAACGTTTGATGCTGTGTGTGTAATATATAACATTCTGTATTAAATAAACAGTACAATTATACGTGCCGCCTCAAAATAGTTCATATATGTAGAGAGTATAGTCTGTTATGGCTGTACTATAATGTATGGCATTCTATAGCACTATTTTGAATCAAAACTGACACAATACACTTTAATACCTAATTAGAATCACTATTCAAGTCAATCTAATTAGATATTATAGCCTATTGCGACAGTAAACAACTGTACACTCTAACAGAGAACGACCGATTATGTAAAGTGCATTATAGCAGAGGGGTTTCCTGCCATCATTGTTCCAGTTGAGAATTTATTTCAATTAATTGCATCATCTTAACATAAATGGACGCCACACTGGTTATATGTGGTTCAAAAATATGCCCTCATAAATGGTGAATGGTAAATGCCTCTGAATTCAATTCCGGGGAGCGACTATTATATTAAACAATAAACAAAAAGTTAATTTCCCACACTGGCAAAACTGTCAAGCAATATAAATCAGAAGACTTGGCTTTTTGCATGTTCTGGTCGTTTTTTCTGAATCTGAACTTGTACGTTCATCTATTTTAAACGCATATTGCCTGACTTGCTTCATACTTACAGGGACGCCCATAACTACAGTTGTTCGACTGTCAAAACAATGCGATTTATTCAAATAAGGAGGTATGAAGGACAGGGATGATGAATTCAGTGCTCTTCTCCTCTGGGAATGGCCTGCATACTAATCAGTGACCTCGCTCTGCCATCTATTGACTGATCTGCGCAATTACGCGCTGACGTTCGTTAGCATGCGGAGCGCGAGAGATCTCTGTCGAATGAAGTACAGCGTCCCCTCGGTTATGCATAAACGGCTGCTTGCGTATACGTTTATAGTTTAGACTAGAAGTTCGACAAGGCAAACTTTGAAGCTGGCTGACAAAGTATTGCCTGACAGTTCAAAAAAGCTGCTAAGTTTGAAGGTTGCACAGGCTGTGTGCGCTTTGAATGCTTCACCCCAAGAAATGCACGAAAAGCAGAGTTTTCTTTTCTGTCCAGATGTTATTTTCTGTTGAAACTAGCTCGTTTTAGAGAGCATTTGATTGGACAAAGATCTGTGTAGTGCAACATGATTCATCAATACTTTTGATTTTCCAGAGAGACTGCAATTTTAAATGCATATAGCCTATATCTGCTAAATATTAATTTTACTAAGTGTTCATTAGCATATAGACGTGGACTAAAAGCCACAACATTTTGAGTAAAGATGGTCTTTTAAGATCTAAAAAGCAAGAATAATTTAAATAAAAAAGTCCATTACCAAATATATCTGCAGTGCTCAGTGCTACCTGCACCTGGAGATCTAATCCTTCTAAAGAGTTCAGTTCCAGCACACCTGCTGTAATTTTCAAGTAAACCCAAAGACCTTGATTAGCTGCTGCAGGTGTTTGAATAGAGTTGGACCTGATGCTCCATTCCAGACAACTCAGAACTTGGAATTCTCCCATCTCATACTTGAAAATAACCACTGGAACTGGACTAGAGTAGGCATGTTTAAGCTACATGAAGCAATTTTTTTTTCAGTCTGAAATACATCCGATGCGATTTTAAATTCAGAAAGATCTCATCATCCGTTTATATGAGCCCTAAATGTTGCAATCCGATTCACATATTCGTTTACATATGTATATACACTGCATTAACATTGTCAAATTCTAAGCACATGCGCAGTGGACAGTCAGAGTGTTCATTAAGCTGGGCACACTGTGCGATTTCAGCAACATTTTTGTTAAATAGCCTACCGACTCTCACTGTACGAGTTAATCGCATGCAATGCCAAGCCAAAGCTCAGGACTTATGTGCTCACACTATACGGTCCAATCGTCGAGCTGCAGCTTCACTGCTCACCCTATACATGAGAAATAATCATGTGGGGCCCCCAAAGCCGGAAATGTGTAGCCTCCATCGCTTCCGTCCAAGCCACAAGCCATGTTGCCATGGTTTCGTTTCTGTCTTCACACTGGCGTAGTGAGGGAGAGTTTAGAGCAGTCGGTTCGTAGCTCTGCACCAACTGTGCGATACCCTCACGAGGGGCGACCAAAATTTCTGACATGTCAGTAATTCATCCGACTGCCGGTCGGGAGAGTTTAATCACCTCTCGGTTCCCCCTGTACACTTCAGGACAAAGCTGAAATTCGGCCTGACTCAAAAAAAGAGTCGCACGAGTCAGAATTAGACTCAAAATCGGACAAAAATTGCACAGTGAAACCAGAGAAAGCAACCGCAAGAATAATTTTCATTTCATTTTTCCCAGTCTAAAAATAAAGGTGATATATAAGTCATAAGTACAAATATTTCGTTAAATATTAAGTCTCCTCCACTGTCCAGATGTAAATAAACATACGCATCATGGCAAAGCGTTTTTGAATATTTTGAATATGATTATTTTTCTTTTTGATTGTTGTTGTTGTTGATTGGATTATTTCTGGTCTGCATCACCACTTTCAATCCGATTGAAATTTCATTCAGATGGATTGAGGTGTTTGCATGAAGGCTTTTCAGTCCTATTGTGCCATCAATCCGATTATAAATGTATTATGCTGGTGCACATAAATTTAGCAGAAGTGTGATTTGACAACATTTCCAAGATGGCGACTAAAGTGACGTCATGTTGCTTATTTTTAAGTGCTGGTAGGAGAAATACAGTTTTCTGAAACAAAAAATGGTATTATGAATGTAATAAAATGTGTTATTTGTGATTTATTCCAGGAGCCCTAGAGCATGACATTGTATCCTGTTTCTGTGCATATTCATTGTCCAGTCAAAGGCATTCTCAAAGTCTGCATTTATGTGTTATGCATTTATAGTTTTATATAATTTAGTTAGACAAGGAAAACTTTGTTGTTGGCTGACAAAGTTTTGCCTGACAGTTTCAATAAAGCTTAAAAAGCTGCAAAGTTTGAAGGTTGCTTAGGCCGTGTGCACTGTGAATATTTTCATACCCCAAGAAATCCTTGAAAAGCAGTCTTTCCCTTTTCCTGTTGAATCTTCCTCATTTTAGAGAGCAGTTGATTGGAAAAAAAATTCAAGTGTTGGAGAATTCCAACAGGGTTCAGAAAAAGTGGCATTTTGAATGTAATATACTCTTAAAAATGCTGGGTTAAATACAACCCAGTGCTGGGTAAAATAGGGACAAACCCAGCAATTGGGTTGTTTTGACCCAGCGGTTGGGCTACTACCCAGAAGGTTGGGTTAAACATTTAAACCAACCGCTGGGTCAAAACAGCCCAATTGCTGGGTTTGTCCCTATTTTACCCAGCACTGGGTTGTATTTAACCCAGCATTTTTAAGAGTATATTACATTCAAAATGCCACTTTTTCTGAACCCTGTTGGAATTCTCCAACACTTGAATTTTTTTTCCAATCAACTGCTCTCTAAAATGAGGAAGATTCAACAGGAAAAGGGAAAGACTGCTTTTCAAGGATTTCTTGGGGTATGAAAATATTCACAGTGCACACGGCCTAAGCAACCTTCAAACTTTGCAGCTTTTTAAGCTTTACCAGCAATTGGGTTGTATTTAACCCAGCATTTTTTAGTGTAATATTCATTATTTGTGATTTATTGGGCCCTAGAGTGTGTCATCATATCGTTATCATCCATATTCATTTTAAGGCCAAAGGTAATTCAAAGGTAAGTCAAGTGCAACCGCATAGGCTGTCACAGGGGTATCCAAAGGTTTTTGAGGAACCACACAAAACTGCATTAAAATGGGCCATTGAAAACAACATTAAAAATTCTTATAAGTAGATGGTAGAGCTACTCATGCAATTATATCTCAATTCTACATCTCACAAATAATCATTTTCTTCTGGAAATCACTACTATTAAAATCCTCAGGAATGCCATTAGTAGTGTTTCTAGGAGTGTCCATTTACTGAATGTGCCTTTAGGTCAAATGTAACTGCTGGGTTATTAAAAGCCTGTGAACTAAGAATGACATGTATTGTCAGTGGGAGTAGCCTATAAAGGCATGACCTTCACTTGCACTATTTTAACCACCCCCCACAGAACATTCCATAAGATTCCTGATTATGATGTCACCTAACAGCACTCACCCCCTCTCTCGCAGACGCATCCTTAATATAGCTGAGTCACGGTCAGACGGCACATAGGAAAAAGAGCAATTGAATCCTATTAGAATCTGTCTGTATTTCCCCAGTTAGTGCTGGGTGTTCAATTGCGCTTGACGATGTGTATCTCATCTGGGCCAAAAAATAGCTTGAATTGCCGCTCACCGGGCCAATCGCTTCTAACGACCACTGACAGTTTGGCACTAATGATACATTTTCAAGCATTCAGTGTTATTGTCTCAACACACTGTCCTAACCAGAGGTCCAATAGGATGGCAAAATGTCCAAATCTGACAACCCTTTTAAAAAACGGCCTGAAACCTCCTTCACACTCGCATACTTAGCCCTCCGTCTGTGCTTTTTAAGAGATTGTCCCTTAGCTCGGGCCGGCGGGCTCAGATTGATTAAGCTCGGTGGCTGCTTTAATGTGATCATGTATCAGTTGCCTGTCGACACTTTTACCCGCATAACTCCCCGGCACTGACAGACTGATTAATACACTGAAATATCCATCCCCCTTCCTTACTTATTTTTCTATTCTCCTCAGGTCTCGATCCGGTTGCCTTCTGCCCTTCATTATTATAGTATATCTTAAGACTCTTTAAACCGGCCCTGCTAAGTGTTGCTCTGCTAATGGCGCTCCGAGGGGCTGCTGATAATACGCTATGATTAAACACATTAAAGGGCCGAGCAGGCTACCACCCCACAGCAGGGTTCTTGTACATTCTGCATACACACACACAGGCTATAAATGTCTCGGTTGATTTGCCTCAATGTACT